GAGAGACCTATCTGAGCAATGTATAAACTGCTCAGAGTGAATTTTACCTGCCCCCTCAGAGACAGGCAAGGGAAGGGCTGTTTGTCCAGTGTCTGACGTGAACCTAAGCAGGGGAAGATGGCAGTGGGCCTGTCCTGGCTGCACCATCACTCCTAAGCCATAGGGAAAGTCACTCTGGGCCCTGTGCCACTCCCATGGGATCAAGGTCAGCATCACCCTGCCTGGCTGGGGAGGATGATGCTGGGGCACCCGAGAGGGCACTGGCTCCAAGCTTTGCTCCTACAGACACAGGTTTATGCCATCTACGAGCCCCTGCCACGGTGTCCACCACGGGATATGGCACAGCATCCCACCATGCATCCATGCCACGTCCCCACCAGGGCAGCCATGCCATCGCCCAGGGGATCCGCCTCCAGCTGGAGACCACCGGTGATGGAAACAGAGACTGCGACGTCAAACATCGATGCCGGGACCGGGTGCACCCCCTGCTACCTCTCCCCCTGCTCCTGCTGCCCAGGTAGGCTCTCACTCTGCATCCACTGGCCCTGAGGATGCCCCACAGGGGGCTCTGCCCCCTGCCAGGCCCCCTCTGCCGCACCTCAGCAGCCCTTCCCTTGTGCTCCACGCCGCGCCGGCTGTCGCCCTGGCCATCAATAGCGCTTGGTTAATTAATTTGATGGGAACAGCAGGGACCGCACTTTGCATTTAGTGAACTTCCGAGAACTTCCAACCTCATCTTCATAATTGGCCTCATAAATTTGAGGAAAGAGAGAAATCAGCAAAGGCAGAGGAGCGCGGGAGGCGGGAGAGGCCCCGCACGCGGGAGGGCGGGCAGGCGTGTGAGAAGTGACTCTATTTGGTGTCCTTATTTAATTTTATTGCACAGATCCATCTTCGCCCGCCCCCTCCCTGCCTAGCCCTCTCTCTCCCGCTCTCCCTGCTGGGTTCACCTAATCATGATAAATTCATATTCATTTCCCTGCCTGCTCCGGCGGGGGGAGCAGCTCCCTTGCATTCGCCCAGCCGTGCTGCCATTAGCAAATATTTACTCGTGAATACGAAACGGCGGTAGTGAGAGCCAAACCACCTCCTCTGCACCCTTTTACCCACAGCCTCGGCACCCTCCCACCCTTGCATGAGGACAGGCATGATGGCTGAGGATGGGTGTCCTCCCCACAGGGTGGGAAGAGCTGCCTAATGCTCAGAGCTGCAGCAACTTGGCCCAGGCGCTTTCTTCCTTTAACCCAGGGCAGGCAGAAAGATGTTTGTTGGGGAGAAAAAGGGATTGCCTGAGCCCTCCCGTCTGGATCCACTGTGGGGATGCAGGGAGGAGAGGGAGTGAGGGCTCTGCAGTAGGAGCTTGGTGTCCATCCCAGCTCCCCAACTTTCTACTCATTCTCTAAGTACTGCTGTGTCTGAGTTTATTTTTAATTTTCAGGATGATCAGACTCACAGCCAGGGAGGGTGGGAAGGGGGTACACTCGAGAGGGTGATAGCCAAAGCCCCTTCCTGGGAAACAGGAACCAGGCAACAGCTCATTAGAGCTGCCTAAAACCATCTTTTCTCACCCTGCCTGCATCCACTCTTGGGGCTCAGCACCCACCTCCCCCCCAGCACCCCAGGAGCCTCATCCCTTGTATTTCTTTGCAAATGTGGCATCCTGGGCTTTGGAAGAGGCAGAAGGTGTGTTGGGGTAAGGGGTGACCAGGTCCTGCCCTGCTACAAGGGCAAAAGAGGGATCTCAGAGGAGCACATGGCCTCAGGGGATGCTGGGCTGGAGGCAGCCCCTGGCTTGGGGTCTGTAGGTGACTGGAATGATGAAGGCCAGGATTAGGGGCACAAAGAGGAGACGGGATGGGACAGCTCTGTCCATCCAGGGCAGAAGAGACTGCCCAGCCCAGGGCTGAGTTACAGTGGACAGCACAGTCCAGTCCCTCTCATTTCTTTCCTTGCACTTGGACCAGGGAGAAATGGGAGCATTCAGCACCCAGAAAAGTCACCCCCAGCTGCTCTAGACAAGCTCCTTGTCATGCTCCTTCACCACCTGCCCCTTTGCATTCATCTCTGCTAATCCAGAGGAGATGGCCCTCATCCACCCTCAGCCTACCTGGCTGCAGCTGACCACAGGAGGGTCCTCTGCACCCTCCAAAGCTCCTGGGCAGGGATATATGGGGTGGGAG